GAAAAGAATGTTTTTGATACCCATAATGAAAAAATACTGCAAAAAAACCCGTTAGAGACATGGAAAAAAAAAAAAAAAAAACACAAAACACAAACACCAAAACATTCCGTTTTGGGAAATGGGCACAAAGTCAGACAAGTATACAGACAAGCTTGTAATGGATTTTTTTGGTTAAAAGCTCAAGATACCTGAACAACAGAGCAGTACTTCTCTCCAAGTGCAACGCATGGCAAACGTTTTAGTCAAACCAGCATGACAAATACATTACTGACGAAATTCATCAAAACAATAACATAATGGTAAAGTTCATTTTGCAAACGGAGTTTTTCAGTTGACACTGCAATTGTGCCATTTAAACTGTTTTTCGCTCTCTGACAGATGTTTGCACTGTGTGTATTTTGAAAGTACTGGTGTAAAACAGCATCCCTTAGAATCAAGTCTTGGAATCTTGCAATAACATACGCACTCCTTTGTAACCAACAACCATTATTAGGGAATAAAAGGATGCTTCATTTTATCCTTTACATCTCCTTATTACGAAAGGTTTGGATTTTCAAATAAACATTTGTTGCAGAATAAATCTGTCAATGAAAATACACTGCGTGAAAGCAAAACCATCAACGCACTACTGGTTTTTGGCCACTTTAAAAACTATTTTTAAACAAATGTATTATGGAATATTTTATCTCATTTCTTTCCTTTCTCTAAAACAGAGATTCTTAATTCATGATTAATATAAAACAGTAATAACTGAAGAACAAGAAGGAATGGCCTCGTATTCCACCAGAGGAGGTTTAGATTGGATATTAGGAAAAATTTCGTCACCAAGAGGGGTGCCGAATGTTTGAACAGGCTGCCCAGGGAAGTGGTTGAGTCACCATCCCTGGAGGTGTTTAAAAGATGTGTAGACGTGGTGCTTACGGACACGTTTTAGTGGTGGACTTGGCAGCATTAGGTTAACGGTCGGACTCGATTTTAAGGGTCTTTTCCAAACTAAATGATTCTATGATTCTATTCTATGACTGAAAAAGCCTTTTGCTATTTTTGACATAAAAGCTTGCTTGTTATAACAGCCGATTTCTAAAGGCTATCAGCATTTAAAAAACCGGCTTTTACAACTCTACATGAATTCTGACATGTCACTGGATTCTTTTGCAGTAACATCACCTTGAATTTTTCAACATACTGTGACTTGTCTCTTGCTGACCAAGGCCACAAAAACACAAACAGAATAAATTGACAAAAGTACTACACAGATACTACAAAAATTCAGTTTTGAAGTTTTTCTCTGTTGGAGAAAAGTCATGTTTCTTCTAGGGACCAAAGGCTTCTGGGAAGCTTTTTTTTTAGGACAACAAAGCAGAGAAAAATTTACTGTAAGTTATGGACAGGCTTCCATCTCTCCATAAAGGATCCCGGTCTTAGACTGTCAAAGTAAAATCCTCTACTGTTAGAGCAAATGAGATACCTATGGTTTTTTTGTTCATGCTCTGTAAGACAGACAGACTCACACAGGCAACAGTGCATTCACCCAGTTCTTTGGGTGTATCATTCCCCCCTCCTCTGTCCTCACTATCAACTGCATTTTAACACAAAAATCTGTATGGAGAACAGCTAGAGAAGAAATGACAAATGTGGATTTGTAGTGCATGTTCTGCTAGCTGCGGCCCTGACCCAATGACAGAGTAAAATTATTCTCATCAACTTCAGTAGAACTTCTCACTTCCATACTTGTTCGGAGAGTTTTTGGGTTTTTGGGTGTTTTGGGGTTTTTTTTTTGCCAATCTACAGCAGACTGAAGTAACAAAGATTAAAACCAAAAACACAAAGTTTAAAAACGAGCTCTCTGGATCTACAACCTGGCTGTGGTTTGCCACATTATCTTGCAAATTTGAAGAAACGTGCCTGAAGCAGAAGGTATCAAACTTTGCTTTAACCAAGCCAGCCCATTTCCAAAGTACTCATTAGAATATAAGTAAATAAATAGAACAAAACTAAAACAAAACAAAAAAAACCCACAGATCCAAACTTTGCAAGAGAAACTGACTGCAATTCCACTTACAGAGAGGGCAACCAAAACAAGGCTTACCATATGTCAGATTTTTTGAAATATGAACAGGTATTCAGTGAGATTTAACTGGATTGAGACTGCAACCTTCTTTCACAAATAACAAAATACTGCTATTGCGTGGGAAAGGCCACTGAAAACAGGTGAATTTGAACCAGTAAAGCTTTACATACAGGTATGGAAGCCAAGTCCAAGAAGGTGGCATGCTGAGGGCATCAGACTACATTACAAGTATTACAAGTGCATCTTGAGGACAACAGCTGGCTCACAATGCATCTATGACACCTTGGTTTGTGAGTGAAAGATAATGAATTTAAATCTTTAGGTGGAGTTGCTCCAGAAACTAATTTCGACCGTCAGTCACGTTCACACTCCTGAAGCCGTGGATTTGATTCTAATAGTTTACACACACTAACTAAAAAGACAGTAGAAGAAAAAAACTAAATACAGCATTGGCCCTGTTTTAAATTCACCTTCATAGAACAAGCTGAGACAATACTTGCTATAGGCTTTAGGTGCACTAGCCAGAAAACAGCACAGGAGATTAACAGTTTGGGTCATCATTTAAAAACAACCAAAAAAGTCTGCACATCGAGCTCATTACAGGTTTTCTTACAACTTAATTTCCTACAGAAAACTAAACAGCAGGAAACAATGCATCCAGATCAGGTTAATGAGCAAGAGCTGGACAGAATACACAAACAGCAATCCTACTTTTATATCTTGTTTTACAAAATATAGTAGAGACAGCCAAGACATGATGGTGACAGACCATCAGATACAGAGCTGCAGATCCACATGTAGCTGGCTGCTACAAAAAAGCACGCACTTCACACTGCAGGGTCTGTATCTTTTAAAAGCATGCCTTGGACAATGAAAACAGTCAGCGCAATTACTGTACAGCATTTGACTATGTGCCATCACAACACAGACTGTAGTGCCACCAGCAGAAAAGTGCATTTAGTATTCGTCCTTGCCTAAACCAGCTTGAAACGATACTGAAAATCTTGCTCTTGCTTGCAGAGCTATAAGGTGCACCAAAGAGGCTTTACATAAGTGATTTTTAGTCTCTAAAGGTATATGTGAACCTACAGGTGGCCTTTCGGCAGGGCAGAAGATGATGTATCACAAAAGACTGATCCTACACATACCAAGTAATTATCCCCATGTTTGGACTTCAGCATTCGGGTTACATCGTGTAGATTGTGGAGGTAAGTTTCCTCAGAACAGCTAGCAGGGAAGGATACCGCGATGATTCGCTCTGTGATATAAGTGAGGTCAAGTTCATAGCCTTCCTCCATAATGTGATCAAAGTCTGTACTTCTGTGAAGAAATTAGATGTGGCAGTTCAGAGCAAAGCAGCTGAGAAGAAACATAGCATAATTAATGAGAAGAAACTGCAACTTAGATTCATATTTTCACTACGTTTACAACTTACTGAATGCCTACAGAGCTCAAATTATTCAGTTCAGTACACAAATGGAGTTAACTAAACATCAGAGCTCTTCACATCAAAACCATAGTGAAAAAGTCTCTGCAACCAGCAATGCAGGAAAGCAATAAAACGAATACTAGCAACTTTGTCAAACACTAGTGCAATAAATTCATGATTTAAACAGAAAACCTACTTATGCATGTACTTATGTCTGCACAAATCTTGTTCTATAGAATTCTGAAAATGGTTTACAAATTAGTAGATTCACCAGTGATCTGTAAAATACTGCAGATAGATACCATCTTGAAATCTGCTCTAAATAACACTGAAGTGAATCCAAAACCAGTCCCCAAACTGCAACAGATATCAGTGTATTGCAACTAATCTCACAGGTTAGTCTACAAATACTGTTTACACTTAACTTCTCCTCCTTTTCCAGGTTGAGGGCACAACCAGGCACCTTACCTTGTCATTTTTCATAGAATAATCAGAAGATTACAGTCATTGAGTTAAAAGTAAGCTCAGCGAACACACCCAGTTGTTTTCTGAGACAGGGACTGTAAAACAGTCCTGCATGGCAGGACATGTCTTGCAGAAGACTGAACTCACAGAAACAGCAACCACAAATAACAAAATCTAAACCCCACCACAGCATTATGTGGCACTACTACACAAAATATGAAAGGAATACTTGCCGTGATCCTTTGTCACAACCAAAAGGTGAGTTCTTCGAAGCACTGCTGGAATTCTGGAACAAAGAAAGCAGAACAGTCACTCTGGTACCTTCCTTGCTGCCATTGATGTTAACGTTCCTGCCTTTTTTCCTCATCTGTTATGTCCATACTACAGAAAACTATACCAACAATAGGATAAGAGAGTATCATCGCCTTATGTTTTGACTGCACACATTGTGGTTATGACCAAGTTATGTCCAGGTCTTCACACAGACTCACTACTACCTCTTCCAACTCGCTACCGCCAGAGAAGGTCTGGTTGTCTTTAGTGCTCTGCTTGGTAACTGCATTACGATTAGAGGAAACATTCAATGGACTTCTGAAAAGATGGAGCTTGAATTTCTGTATGAACCTGCAAAAGTAAGTTCCTCTCAAGTGATTCTCTTGCGACAATATCGAACAATATACCCCATTTGTTCCAACATCTGAGTTCTGGGAGTTTGAATAGAAGACTGAGCTGCAACGGTTTTGTTTTACATGAATTTAATGTATGTCTTTTGTAGTTCCATTTTTCAGTAATAGTAACTATGCATTAAAAAGTGTCAAAATATTCTCCCTCATGAACCTTAGTAACAGAATTTTTCTCATCTATTTTTAGCTGACTCAGAATCAAGCTCCAGCTTAAGAGTCACCCAAGCTCTCTGTACACAACAGAGAGCAACAGAGACATCTAGAGCGGGCAGTATCCCTTCCTTCCAGGACAGGTTTTCAGAAAAAGACAGACATTATTATACTAACATTAAATAAAAATGAATAAAAATAATTACTTTACATTTAGATATATCTTTTTATACAGAAAATGTTCCAAAAAAGTTCATTTTAATATCATGCATCAGTAACTCCATAAGAGAAAGAGAATTCACTCGTCTTCCTGCCCTGAATTTATACTTACTATACAGAAAAATGCACAGAAAAGCTTACTTAGATCAAGAGTACGAAGTGGAAACTTCTTAAACTGTATCTATTTTGGCTACACACATGAAAAATATCTTCTACCCAAACAAATGGTGTTTGAATGGAAGAGGATTTAGAACTTTCCTTACAGTGACGCTGTATATCAAAACCTGGGAATAGCTAGGAGACACACAAGCATGCAAGTGGCATGTTTCCTTCCAAAAATTTCTGGAAATCAGCTTTTCTCTCAAATATTACAGCACTCCTGACAGTATAAGGTGGCATTCACCCAAGTGCTTGGTCCCAGTTCCACCAGTTCCTGTCTCTACTTAGACCACAGAAAATAAGGAAACTTCATGTTATTTTCACAGAATCACAGACTCACAGAATGGTAGGGGTTGGAAGGGACCTCTGTGGGTCATCTAGTCCAACCCTCCTGCCGAAGCAGGGTCACCTACAGCTTCTTTTTACTGAAGCCTTTCTTACGATTTTAAAGACTGTAGGTAATACATGAAGGATGCCGAAACAAGTAAATAACTCCTAAGTGAAATTCAAGACAAAGCTTTTACCATGTTTTGGTTTGGTTTTATAACTAGAAAGCAACTAGTGGAACATGCCTCTCCCCCCACTTTCTTGGTCTCTGTTGGTCACACTGATGTATCCATTGCTTAAGGAGTACTTCCACCATGTTTTAATAAATTTTATGATTAAACATCAATGTAACCTCACTTACCGGCTTCCTCTGGTAAGAAAATAAGCGATAAAGTAATTGTCTATTGCACGCTGCTGTAGCATATAAACTAGCACATAACCTAGTAAGATGCAGCGTATAAGCACATGAACAGCAACATAACGCAAACCACTGGCAGGAAAAAAAAACCCCATTAGCGAGATCTATATTTACTGTATGCATGTCATGTCATCTACTGAAATGCACAGTACTATATACCCTTTCCTGCTGCGTACAAAAATTTATAATCCTGACAACTTCCACAGTTCAACAGCTGGTACAACTTAAATTACCAGTACTGTTTGAAAAGAAATTTTCTTCAAGTACCTATAATACAGTTTAAAACTCTAGCTGATTGGTTGCACATTAAAAATATAAATCTATCCGTTTACAAGGACTTGTCTTCTGAAATCTCCTCTGGCTATGATGTTTCATTGCATGGTCTCAAATAGCTGCAATAATCTTCAGTCTGTCATCATGGGTACACTTTTATACAAATTCCGGACAGTTCCCAGAATCAGCAGAACCGTACCATCTTCAAAAGATACTTTGATTCAGACCATGAAACTTCCCATTGCCTATCTGTGGTGCACCAAACTACTAACTTTTACGAAGGGTTAACTTCATAAGATCACCTCGTACATTGTATGTTGACCACAGTCAATGACTTGTTGGCAAAGGGACAAACAGTCAAGAACTCCCTCCCAGTTTTCTGCATGTCCTCTAGGTTATAGTCACTTCCTCCTCTCTTCCATGTCTTAATTTATCTTACAGTTAGTAATGCATTCTTTTTTCTTCATTTTTTCTATTTACTATTTGTTTTGTTTACTAATTATCAAGGACTGCACCACTAACTCTCCCCCTCACAGCTAAAATATTCAGGAAAATCCAACAAAGATACAATACATGACTCACTACAGAGGTAAAACAGTTTCTGAAAAAGCGTTTCAAAGGTCTGAGGAAACACATACCATATATGCACACACCCCTACAATGTGTTCTCAAACATGTGAGGAAGCTGTTGCAGCATTTTTCACACCCCTACAATGTGTTCTCAAACATGTGAGGAAGCTGTTGCAGCATTTTTCACAACAGGCAATCTGTAAACGTGAGCCATAGTGTACCATGCTTTGGACTGAATTCAGGTTTAATAGCCAATTAAAACCAATCTTGAACTTCTGTGACTGCCTCTTTTTTTTTTCCTCCAACATTTGTGTGGTTTCAGGGCAATTTCACTGACAAGAAGGGATTCTTGCTCATTCTGAACCAAGTCCCACACACCTACCAGCAGAATACAAGTTTAACCAAGCACAGGATTCAACGGCACAGGGCATACTATCCATGAAGGCAAATAATCTCTACCCAAGAAAAAAACCCACTGTTTTCTGCCTTGCTGCACACTGGAGGAATAATGGCAAAACATTTGGCTAATCTTCCAAGACAGCAAATGCCATCTGGCTTCTCCCAGGATGGACAAAAACACAGAAAATCGTGCAAAATGAGATACGATTCTCATTTCCTGTCAACAAACAGCAGAAGAGAAGGGGAACAAAAAATAATGGCTGTTTAATGGTGCTCAACCACACCTGGCTAAAAAGTTTCGAGTTGTAGCTACGGAATGATGGTAACAAACCAGTTCACTGCACCCAAGGTACTGCGTCATTGCCCTGTGCCAGGGAAAACTCAAGCCATGCAGCTCTTTCCTTTGACATCCTCCTTGCTGTTTCTTTTGCCATCTTTGGCTCCTGCATCTAGTCCTGGGAACACTGCAGACCTTGCTATCCCAACTGTCTCAAAAATGCAGTCCTCGGAGAAGACCATCCCAGAGTTCAGTACAGGAACAGGCCTGGATTTAATTCTACATCATTTTCACCAAGTCACAACACTCACTAGAAGGCAGGTTTCCCAGCACAGCCTTTACAATCTCCCTTCCTGTCTCTCCACAGCTTCAGAGCAAAAACGTGACACAGGTATATTACAGGTCATCTCAAACAGCGTGGCACTAAGGTGGCACTGAGACACCTTCTGCACTAGTCCAGAAACAGAAGGAATAAGAAATAATCTCTCTGCTAACCAGGCTGGTGAGGGGTCTGGAGAACAGGTCCGATGAGGAACAGCTGAGGGAGCTGGGGCTGTTCAGTCTGGAGAAGAGGAGGCTGAGGGGAGACCTTGTCGCTCTCTACAACTACCTGAAAGGAGGCAACAGGGAGGTGGTGTCGGTCTCTCCTCCCAAATAACCAGCAACAGGATGAGAGGAAACAGCCTTAAGTTGTATCAGGGAAGGTTTAGATTGGATATTAGGAGAAACTTCTTTACTGCAAGAGTGGTCAGGCATTGGAACAAGCTGCCCAGGGAGGTGGTGGAGTCACCATCTGTGGATGTGTTCAAAAAATGTGTAGACGTAGCACTTCAGGACATGGTTTAGCAGGCATGGTGGTGTTGGGTTGACGGTTGGACTTCGTGATCCTACAGGTCTTTTCCAACCTTAATGATTCTGTGATTCTGTTC